TAATCTAATTTTATTTTAATATTTATACATGGATCAACAAAATATATATATATTTTATTTTTACTTTATTAATTATACATGCTAATTTAAGTATTTATGTAGAATCGACAAACAACTTTTTTAATTTTTATTGCCTAATTTAGAATATTTGATTTAGAAATTTGTTGTAGATAATAAAATTATTTTATTAGTAATTGTATTGATTTAAATTTCTAATCGATAAAAAATATAGATTAAGATTAATATAAAAAAATTAGAATAAAATTTTTATATGTTCCAAATTAGGAATTGTGATAAAATAAATTATGGAATAAGAAAAAAAAAGGCAGAATCACAAAAAAGTATATGATACGATTTGTCTGAGCCACATCGATTGATAAAAATCTGACTTTTAGTCGAATTTTGCCTAGCACAACTTGGCAATCGCATCTAATTTCAGTAGTTTTTCCCTACTGTGTGTTCGTGCAGACTGACGCTTAGCCTCACCCACCCAATTCAAATACCATTGGGGCTTGTTGGTTTGATACCAAAATCAAATATGAAATTTTATTTTTTACTTTAATGATAATTATGATTATAATATAATGAGATTTTGTTTACGTAATTTGATAATCTATAAAAAATTTTTGTTGTTGTTTTTTTTTTTCTTTGTTGTTTTTTCGTTTCTCTCTCTCAGTTCGACCCTCTTCCTTTTCCACGTCTTGTTTTTTTTTTTTTCAAAGTTAGTATTGTTTTTTTTTTTTACTTTTATAATATCTAGATGATTAATATACTAGTTAAAGTTAAGAACTTTTGTGTTCTCTCGTTTAAGTAGCTGGGGCTTAGTCTATTGAACATACGGATAGTAGCTTTGTGAGCGACTAGCTCATTACTATTCGCCTTTATATGCATACCTCGGTTTTAAGTTCTTAACTGATAATAGAGTTTAATTTTATATTATTTTTCTGTTTGCAAACAAATTTAATAGCTATTATATTTTATTTTAGAAATGGAAAATACTATAGAACAAAATATCGACACAGTTATCTTTTCGCTTTTCGAAATAAAGAAAAAAATAAAAGACAAACCTAAAGAATCTACTTGTTACGATTGTGAAAAACTAAAAGAAAATTGTAGAAGTGCTTTTAAAAAATATAACAAAGGTTTATCACTTGTTGAAAATATTGTTAAGCTTCAAAAAGAAGTCAAAGAAACAAATAGCGAATATTTTAAATTAAACAAGAAATATATTGCTCTAAAAGAGAAATATAAGCCAGCCAACGATTAATTTTTTAAAAAATTGATTTTTTTTTAATTAATTTGTTTTTGTTTTTGTTTTTTTTTTTATAAAATAAAATTTTTTTTATAAAATTTTTTTGTTTTTTTTTTTTTTTTTTTTGATTGTTTTTTATAAGTTATAATTTTTTATTAATAAAATAAAAATAATAAATTTTAAACTGATTAGATTATTATTAAACTTTTTGCCTTGTTGGTGGCTTTTTTTTTTTGGCGTACCGCTAGCCTCGCAATTGCTTATGCATTGGTTGTTTATTAAACAATAAAATTAAGAATCATTATTTGAACGAATTTTTGACTAGGTCCCTTACCTCCCAGTTGCCAATACGAATCGCATTTAATTTTTGTAAAATATAGCAACATTTACGAGATACTATCCTCAAAGTTTTGGTTAATTCGTATTTTTGAAATTCTTTTGAAATAGAGTATAAAAATAAATCGAGGTCATGAAGAATTAGTTAAGAAAATAGCTTTTAACAAAAAATAGAACTGAGAATTACAGGGGGGAAATTGTATTAGCAGAAATTCAAGACTACAAACAAAAATTTATAAATTGCAACAGAGGATTATTGCTTTAAATGCTGATAGAGATAAATTGATTCAGGAAAATACCCGTTTAAGAAGTAGAAATGAAGAACTTGTAACTGAAAAAAATCAATTTGAAACAGATAACATTCAGATTCATACAGCAAATAAAAATTTGACGTGATTAAATGACGTGTTAAAAATTGTTTTGAGAGACTGTGAAGACGAAAAAGATCATTATAAAGCTGCAAATCTAGAAGAATTTGAAGAATTTATTTCAAATTATATTTTTAGTTTATTTAATAATATTGGAACATTGTTTCGATTCGATAATCAATATATGAGAGATATTGTAAATTTGTTGAAATTTTATAATTTCTTCAATATACCTATTGTATTTCATTATGTTAAAATTATTTACAGAAAGTTTTTATGGCTAATTTTTGTTATCCTGTACATAAATCTCACTGAAATGAAAAGAATTCGTGTTTTAGAAATTTTATTTGTAAATATTATTAGCGTTTATTTTGGATTATGGTTAGTTTTTTTTGTATTTGCAAAATTTGACAGAGACTTTGTTGTATTTTTTATTTAAAATAAAAATTTAAAATATAATATAATCAAAAAGCAATAAAATATAAAATAACTAAAAAATTACAGAATACCCATTTTTGTTGCCAGTTTTCTTATCGTGAGCTAATTTAAATTCGATACATTGTTGCTTAGCTTGTTCTGAGGTTCTGCTCTTTGTAATATAAAAATATTTTGTTCTAGCCTTATTATTCTCATACCATTGGAATCTCCAATAATTCTGAGATTTAACAAAATAGATTCAATTAAAACCTGATATATTGTTTTTACTTAATTTATAATTTAATATATTTTCTTTTTTGTTTGTTTCTCTTAAATTACATCTTCTGTTATCAAGACTATTCCTGTTTATATGGTCAATCATTTTAAGCTTAGAACAAATCAAACTATGAATAGTAAAGGTTTTTTTCATTTTTGTTGTATAAATATAATATGTATTTCCAATTTTATGACAAGTCCAGGTATAATTTTGAAGTAGATGAAAATTATCTTTATCGAGTAGAAAAGTAATTTCAGGTTTTTGAGTTTTGACTTCTAAATAGATAGTGAAATTGATTTTCACAAGATGATACTCATTTAGTTTAAGTTTTGGTTTTTCAAGATTCTTGTATTTTTCTCAATCGGTCAAGATTTCGAAATCTTTAAACTTCTCTGGCCAATTAGATATTTTTTTAATAAAAATTAAAATACAGAATCTGGAAGTATTTATAAATTACTTTCGTATTAAATAATTATGAGATATTTTTTTTATATTTAAAGAAAATTAAAATATTAAATAAAAAACTATATCGACTCAGATTTTTACAAAAGTAATTCAGTAGGAACCAAAAGTTTATCTCATTAAGGACGCTCTGTCCGCTTCGATAAACTTTTGTGCAAGCAGTTCCTGCTTGCCTTTAAAAAAAATCAAATTGTTTATATGTGTTAAAAAAAATGTATGTTTGTTCGCCTGAATCAATTTACATTGATTCATAATTATTTTTAAACAGATATAAATGAATAAAAATATATTTAAGCTTTATTGAGTTGTTCGTTGATTTGATGAATTATATACTTCAATATATAAAAATAATAAATTAGGTTTGGTCTGAAATAAAAATCCTCGATAGAATGTTTTTTGTTGTATAAGTTTTTTGCTAAATCTAATATAAAAGTATTAGGATCTGTAGAATTAACTAAGTTATAATGCATTTTTTCAAATGTCACTACTATATGATTTGTTTCTTTTATTTTAGATTTTCTGATTTGTTCTAATAATTTTTTTAAATAAAATAGAAAATGTTTATACATTTTTGGATTACTAATGTCGATTTCGAAATAATCAAAGTCATGATTAAAATCGTAAGTTGCAATCTGATTTATTTTGTTGAACTTTTTTATTGCTTGTACTGATATTTTTCTTTTTTGAAGAGATGATTTATTCCTTTTTGATTTTAAGTTAGCATAATAATCATACTCCCAGATTTTTAGTTCGACTGTTTTGTAGTATATTTCAAGTAAACTTATTAATAACAGAAGTTTTTTTTTGTCTTTGTAAATATGTGGTTTATATTCAAATTTTGAATATTTTAACGAAATGCTTATAACAAATTCGTTAGGTGTTGTTGAAGTTTGTATTTCATTAAGCAAATGTTGATATTTTTGTACAAATTTGGCATTCTTTTCTATTTTGTATATCTCTACCCAATGAAGAATTTTGTTCAGAATTAATATAAATCTTTCATAAAGCTTTGGATCGTTAAGATTTATTCTGTTTTCAAAAATATCTTTAATATCAATAAAACGATCAATATATAACCAAACTGGATCGATTTTATTTATTTGATATTGTTCATTTTGTTTTTCTAATTTATGATAATATCTTTTCTCTTCTTTAGATAATTTTTTGTACTCATCATTAGTTAATTTTTGAAACATTGCCATATAAATTAGTTAATTATAAAATTAATTTTAAATTTGTTGTTTGTTGCTTTAACAGTTTTAGATTTGAAGTATTTGTAATATCCTTTAACTTAGCCTCATATTGCTTTTTATACTCGATTGCGCGATTTAGAACAGATTTATCTTCACGATTTCTAGAGAAATATCTTTTGTGAACGATCTTGTTTCTGTATATTTTAAAAACCTATCCCTTTCTAGATGTGTCATAGTGGATATTTTCTATTCCTGATTTAAAATTTTTCATTATTATTTTTGTAACTAAAAAATTGGTTTTAGAAGAGAGAATTCAGTGTGTTTTATACTTTTTAAATCTGCGCACAGTAAATTGTGCAAGAACCAATAACAATTAAATTTCTTTTTTAGATAATTGCTAAAAAGATTAAAAATTACCTTTTTAAAAATTAGAAAAAAATTATCTAATTTGGTTTAGTATAGCACAGTAATTAAAATTACTATAAATATGAGAGGAATCTGAAAAAATAAAAAATAAAAAAGAACAAAAACAGATTTGCATTTAAAAAAACAAAGCTAACAAAAAAATATGTTTGGTAATTATAGATTTAGACATGTTATGTCTACTGTATATTATTGTGTTTCTTGCTTGACTTATTTTAAATGTAAAAAAAATATGTCTGAAAAAGAAAAACACGAATGTAAAAAAGAATATTTTAAAACTGGTGTTGTTCTAACATATGACAGATATAAGAAGCAACATTAGCGCTGTAGGCTAGCATCTTGCGATCAATGCTA